TATTAAAGTGGGGTTAGTAAAAGCAACTTCAAATTTTACATTTTAGGGTGATGGTGTGCTGGCAGTCAGATTATAAAGCACACCTTTTAGTGGAAAGACTGATGGTTTTGTGTGGAATGTGAGATTTCTGTTTACCACTATTTGAGTTTACTTACTAAGGACCCAAATATATTGGTTAGCATTAGGAAAGTTTTGTTTAATGAGTTATATACTGTATTTTTCTAACCTGTTCTAATACACATCTTTAAAGATCTTGCGGGCCTTGAGGCTGACGTGGTGTAAAACAACTGAAAACTCCAGAAATTCTAGTATTTTAATTGTGGCTTAGTCTTCACCCATCCTGATAAAAGTGCAGAACATTTAACAGCTAAAGCTGTTGCCCTTGCAGCTGTTCACAAGATACATGACAACTGTTTGTTACTGGGTGGTATGGAGTATTAATAGTTTCTGACTAAACATCTTTTAGGATTGAGGCAGAAAATAGTGTTGTGATATAGAATAAAAGCATTCAAAATGTGAGCTGGAAACGATTATTGTTTAATTATTTTGTATGTATTAGAAATATTTTAAAAATTACTCAAACTATTTGACTAAATGTCTTATTTTTAGTCAACTGTGGAAACACATTTTTTAAATGTTTCATTTAAACTTGTGTGTGTTTCTTTTATTTTATTTTATTTGTAGTTGTGTTTTGTTTTCTTATGTTTTCTGTATCTTGGAATTCTTGTGATTATCATTTCCTCTGTTATGTTACTTCAGGATTGGCTCTGGAGTTGCTGGTGCTTTCCTGCTACGAGGGCGGCGGGGATGAGATGAACCCGGTGAAGGACTCAGGGACAGATCAATCTCATCTGGAAGGGGAGGTCAAAATGTCTATCACTGTTATTTTTTTTCYTCAGGTTTAAAAATGACAAACAAGCATTTCTTCAAAGAACAAAAGTCTTTTTTTAAAGAAAAGTAAAGTTTTCTTTCCTTCATTAAATCTTTTTGTATTTTTAATGTTTAGTTCAACTGTTTATAGTTAAATTTTTATACCATTTGGATTATAAGATTTGCAAAAAATGTAAAAAATGTTTTTGGGTGGATAAATCTGAAAGAACTAGAAGAGTTTAAATAGAGAAGAAATCATGTGAAATGGTCATCAAAATAAATCTTTTGTAAAAAAAAAGGAAAGATGATCATAAAAATTTTGAAAAGTATAAAGACATGCTGTTTGCTTTATGGTGAATAATAAATGTAGAAAAATTAACCTGTACTCAAGGATTTGTGTTGAACCACAATGAAAAACAAGCATTCAGAGATCACAAGCTTGTAGAGCTAAAAGGGGATGAAATGAGGTCTCATGCCTGTAGTGAATTACTCTATGAAACTCAGGACCAGCCTAACCTTCACAAAATAATCCCTCAAGCCAGATCTTGCAAATGAAATCCCAGAAATAATGAAATACACCTCTGATCATGAAGTGAAAAATGAAAACTTGTGACCTGAACAGATTTCTCAAAATAAAGTAATTTATTTTAGATATATGAACAGGATTAAAC